GTCCGTGAGCCCGAGGCCTTGGCCGAGTCCGGAGGGGCGACCCCAGGCCTCTCCAGCAGTCCCGCCCGCCGCTCCCACGCGGCCATGGTCGCCAGCGATGTGTAGTGCGCGGCATCTGGGCCGTGCACCCGAGCCTCGAGGGCTGTCACTTTGGAGAAGGCTTCGCTGGTGGCGAAGGTGAAGATGGAGCCGAAGGGAGTTAGGAATCTGTGTGTTTGGTGGGGCGAAGAGTGGGCTGGTTAGAGAGAGGGCGATGGAGCCATGGAGGCGGGGAAGGATGAGGGGAGGGAGACCACTCACTTGATGAGCTCCCTCCATCCCGCCAGGTACTGCGACAGCTCCACATCCCCTTCCAGGCTCAGACTAGCGCGGAACGGCCTCACCAAGCGGCCCAGCATCCCCTCGCGGCCCAGACACCAAGGCTCTTCCCGCTCCGGGGCCTCCAGGGATCCCAACTGTTGCCGGATCTGGGGGAGCAGAACCCCTAGCCTGTTAGGCCTCCTTCGCCAACCTAAGGTCTAGCTGGTGTCCCTCCTGCTGTGCTCTCGGCTTCCGTCTAGGGTGGGGGGACAGGAAGGAGGACCCGCTCTGCTCCTCAGCAGGGAGTCAGTCAGCCTGGCTCCACCTTCCCCCTGTTGAGGGTCCTGCTTGGAGCTCCCGGCCCCAGCCCTGCCCCCAGCATACCTGTGAAGGCGGGGGTCCCTCCGTAACGCAGGGCTGGGCCCCCGATCCGCAGCCCGAGAGGGCGCCTGGGGAGAGACAAGGCGGGGCGGTGAGGACTCGAAGAGGGGCCTTAGGTCCCCAGGACCGGGATTCCTGGGTTCCTGCCAGAGAAGGTGGGGGAAGAGGCCACTCACGTAGGCTCCGAGTACAGAGATAAAAAAGTAGCAGCGCGAAAATGGCAAGAGGAATTGGATGGCGGAGCCAGCGCCTGGAGACCTGCGGAAGCAGCACGACCCCCATGGGCGCTGCTGGGACCACCACCCCTCACCAGCTCCTACCCGGGCCTTATCCCTCCGCCTCCCAGAAGGAAGAGAAGTCCGCGGTGCACTGAAGTGCAAGGGTTAATCATTAATCTAAGGCCCCTTACTCTGTGTCCTTTGCCCTAGAGGGCAGCACCTCAGGGGTGAGAAACCAGATTAAGAGGATTTGGGAAGTTCGGTGGCAATGACACGTCCCTGTATTTCCCTTCCTTATAGGATCAGGTTGTAGGAAGAGGCAGCCTGGGTATCGGGAAGGGAGGCTGGGGTCAGTACCAGCTCCCACACTGAGCAATGATGTGGGTCCTAAGATAACAGACTCTGGGCTTGGGTTCCTTCCAGTGTAAATTGAGGATAATAATAGGTACTTGGCGAGGATTAAATGATAATGTACGTGTAAACACTGTAAATGGAAAAGCTTACCACAATTGCTCCATAAATCTTACCTATAAAGTTCAAGCACGGGGCACCTGGGATCCAGGGAGCGCCCATGTCTAAATTCTCTAGCCTATCCCCACGGGACCTTGTCTTGATCTAGAGGCATCATCTCCTGATTGTATACTTCAGGCTTGATCCACCATGCCCTCACCAGCTCCTGCCCAGTCCTTGTCCCAACTCCGGGTTGGCTCCTCTATTATTTATCAAACAAACCTTTATTAAGTACTTCCACATGCCAAGCCCTGATTAGGCCTCAAGGAGACAAATAAACTGAGCCTTCATAGAGCTCAAGGTCCATTAGAGACTTAATAATTTGTTTCCCCTACTGGAATGTGAGCTCTGATGAATCTTGTTTTTCTTGGTTGTAACTCTATCTACAGAATTTAGAATATTACCTGGGCCAAAGTACATTATTGCAAAATACGTATTCTATATAATAAAAGCGTAGCATGCAAATTGTCCCCTCAACAGGGAGTTCATAGGGAGTTCGGCAAAGGGGCAGGACCAGCCAGGGGAAGGAGGGAGACCTCCCAACCCCGCAGCCACTAGGGACCCTGCCAGTGCATGAATTTTGTGCACTGGGCATCTAGTATGTTAATAAACAAAGAAATGTGTATTAGGGGTAGGCAAATAAGGGTAGTGCCCCAGATGACAAATTTGCACTTTTTGGGGGCGCAGTTTTGATTTTTGCAAATTAGGAGTCCACCTAGTGGCCATGGAGGGGGTGCTTTCAGAGAAAGGATACAGGATGCAATCAAAGAAACAATATATCCTGTTCTTAGCCCCCAGTCCATAAACTTCTTAGAATTGTCCCCGTCTCTGTGTATATTTTCTTCTTGGGGTGAGGGAGAATACCCCAGATTCTCAAGGAGTCAGGACCCCAATCTCTACGAAGACTCTTCCTAGCTCCCACAGTTCATGGATTCTTGCCCTGTCTCTCACTCTGATGCTCCCTTGAATCTGGGAGGTCCCTGAGTTTGCTACTGACCAATCCCATCTTGTGGGATTCAGGAGCCTTCACTTCCATCCCTAGCCTTGGGCTTCCCATTTCCCAGCGTTAAAGTGTTTCTCAGCTTGGCTGATGGTGACTTTAGGCAAGTTGCTTGCTATTTCTAAATCCCAGTTCCCTAATCTACATAATAGGAAGGCTAATTCCTACCTCCTAAAATTGGGAGGGTTAAATAGAACATGCCTGCAAGATGCTAACCACATAGCCTGTAGTAAAAGTTCAGGCGATGGTGGTGATTTCAACTTGTCTGCTCCTGATGCCCCTCCTCCTCTGCTGCTGGGAGCATAGGTCTCCCTGAGCAGCAGATCAGGTCTGTAGAGTTCCGGGAGCAGATTAGTTTTTGGTGAAACTTAATCCGAGTGGCCCTTCCGCAATCGGAGCCCTCATGGGGCAGAGGTGGTATAAATCTGCTTAAGGGGCCCTGGCTCACAGAGGCTGCAGAATGGAGCCAGTGGGAGCCAAGCTGCTGCTGCTGTGGGCGATGTGCTTCGGGCACACCAGAGCCGTTGGTTCCAGAAGCTACACCCAAGTCATCGAGGTGACCAATGGGGGCCCCTGGGGCGACTGGGCCTGGCCCGAGATGTGTCCTGACGGATTTTTCACCATCGGATTCTCCATCAAGGTGAGGGCTCAGATCTAGGTCTCAAAGGCTTGGCTCAGGGGATGGAGCTTTAGCCTGTGGACTTAGGGGTGCAGGTTAGATTCCGATCCAGGGCACATGCTGGTTGCGGGCTGGATCCCCAGGAGAGGGGTGTGTAGGAGGCAGCCAATCAATAATTCTCTATCATCATTTAAAAAATATATGTATTTATTGATTTCAGAGAGGAAGGGATAGAGAGAGATAGAAACATCAATGATGAGAGAGAATCATTGATCGGCTGCCTCCTGCACACCACCCACTGGGGATCAAGCCCGAAACCCAGGCATGTGCCCTTGATCAGAATGGAACCTGGGATCCTTCAGTCCCCAGGCTGACGCTCTATCCACTGAGCCAAACTGGCTAAGGCTCTCTTTCATCATTGATGTTTGTCTCTCTCCCCCTCCCTCTCTGAAATCAATAAAAATATGTTTTTTTAAATAAAAGATACCAACCAATTCTAGTAATAAAAATTTTAAAAAATGCATTCAACACTTATTTGTAAAAAAAAAAAAAAATAGTGACTGGTAGTCTGACTCATCTTTACCCCTCCTCTCGGCTCCAGGTGGAGCCCCCACAAGGCATCCCCGGAGATGACACGGCAATGAATGGGATTCGGCTACACTGCTCCCGTGGGCACAAAGTGGAGTCCGAGTCTGGAAGGTGAGGGGCAGGGGCCAGTGATCCCCTAGGGTGGGGTATGCGCCTTATCCTGTTACACCCACCCACTCCCAGCCGGCAGGTAACTCCAGTTGCTACACCTTAGACCTGGGGAGTAGGTTGTAGAATTCCCCTGCGCACCGCGGTGGATGTCAAGTGATTAGACCCGCCCCCCCTCAGGCCAAGTAGCCCCTGGCTTGGGAAGTCCCCAGGCTGGGTCGGGCTGGAGGTGAGTGGGGGGCGCCCCACAACCAGTGAGTCTTCCCTTCCCTCGCAGGTGGGGCGCATGGAGCGAGCCGCTGTGGTGTCCCCATGGCAGCTTCCTCGTGGCTTTCTCACTCCGAGTGGAGGCACCCAAGACCCTTGAGGACAACACTGGCGCCAACAACGTGCGCTTCCGCTGCTCCGACGGCAAGGAACTGGAGGGGCCTGGCCTGGCCTGGGGAGACTTTGGAAGCTGGAGTGAGCCGTGTCCTAAAGGCATATGTGGTTTGCAGACCAAGGTCCAGCGGCCTAGAGGCCTCCCCGACGACACCGCGATGAACGACGTGCGTTTTTTCTGCTGCAGCAGCTGATCCCTTTGCGGTCGGCTCCCGGCCCCACCTCCGGCTGTCCCACCTCCCGAATTAAAGCTTCCCCGTCATGGCTTTGGTGTCATTTGTTTTAGGCATAGAAAACTGCATCTCCCTGTCTCCTAGCCTAGCACTGGGCCAGGCTGAAATTCAGGTTTGGCTCAGGAGTCCATGGCAGGCTACCCAAAGTTACGGACCTTTAGTCACTTCCATTTTGCACACAAGTAAAGGAAGTCTCTGGCTCTCTGAGGGCGTCTGCATCCGCATCATACCCATTAAATGCCCAGGTTATTTATTTTCTGAGCCACCAGTGACCTCAGATTAAGAAACTTCTACCAAATTAGGAGGCGACATGTTACCACACCTTCAGGCTTCATTTTCTAGAGCTTAATTGGTTAACCTGTCTCTTCCATAGTTGTCCCCCCCACCTCCTCCCCCCTACACAACCCCAAGGGTGGCTTTTCTGTATACTGATTCCCATTTTGGATCTTTGCCCTTGGTGTTCTCTCTGCCTGGAATCCCTCAGCACCCAGGTGGTTAGCCCACAAGCAGACTTCAGCTCTAATTTCACTTCCTCAGAGTTTATATCTATCCCATTATCAACGTGTTGTTATTTTTTAATCTTCACCTGAGGATATGTTTTACTGATTTTAGAGAAAGGGTTCCCTGTCCTGAGCATGTGCCAAGGGGGACTTGCAAAGGGCTCATTAGTCCCATGTGGACGTAGCACTCTCGAAGGCAGGTCTGACCTACATGGGGAGAGGCACAGAATGGGGTGGTGAAGGTGAAAATACCGGCTAAGCCTTACTCGGTCTCTTTGAAATGGTAGCGGGGAGAGAGAGAGAGAGAGAGATGGTTACCTGCCTCTAGTATGAGTCCCCACCAGGACTGAGCCTGTAACCTAGGTGTGTGCCCTGACCCAGAAGCCAAAGAGCAGGCAGCCTTTGGGTGTACAGGACTACGTTCCAACCAACTGAGCCACACTGGCCAGGTCTCATCGAGCTTTGTAAAAGTGCTTATCATCAGCTGATCTTTTAAAAACTGCCAATTTTCCACCCTGGAATGTTAAATTGAGAGCTTGTTTGGAGGTTCTAGCAGGAGAGTGCAGCTACTCGTATACCCTTACCGAAGACCGGTCCTCTCCTCTGGGGGGACGCACATGGATCGGTGAGGGAGGAGGGGGACACCCGCCTAGCCAGCCAGATCAGCCGAATCAACCCTGGCGATCAACGGGGTGACAAATGTCGCAGCCAGATCGCCCTCACATCCTGGAATGTTAAGTTGAGAGCCCAGAACTTGTCTGTCTTGTTGGCTTTGGTATTTCCGGTGCACACTAATAGCTCAATAACTATTTGCTGCCCTGGCGCTCCTGGCTCAGCTGGTGGGAGCCTGGTGGGTGCACCAAGAGGTGGTTCCTTCCTGGTTGGGGCACATACCCAGATTGCAGATGGATCCTGGCTGGGGTGCATGGATGAGGCAACCAATTGATGTTTCTCTCTGGCATCCATGTTTCTCTTTCTCTTCCCCTCCCTCTCTCTCAAATCAATGAAAAATGATAAATAAAAAATTTAAACTCAGGCTTAAAAAGTAACTATTTGCTAAGAAAATAAGCGGGGTGCAGTAGCCCCACACAGGGGAGCCACAAGCCCCGCCTTGGACACTCCTCACATAGGGCACGATCTGAGATGCGCAAGAGAGCTCAAAACGGTTTATTTCAAGGCGGGGGTGGGTCGGGTGGGCGTCCAGCGGCGAGCAGGGTGGTCAGTGGAGCCTCATTGAGGGGCGCCCTGCGGAAAAGAGACCGTGAGAACGCAGCCAGGGAGCAAGCCGGTTCCCTCCAAAGCTCCTGGGCGCGCGGTCCCACCTTCTTCCTGCAGTCGCCGCAGAGGACACCCATGGCCGCGTTCACCACCTGCACCCCGCACAGCACGAGCTCCAGGCACGAGGCGGCCAGGAGCAGCGAGA